CTCAAAAGGTCTAAGGATTTATTAAAACGAAATAGCGATGAAAGAACTGCAGCCGATGGTGCTGCTGGCGACCATACACCTGCCGTTGCAGCAGCACGCCTTAATGTCACAAGCTTGACCTCGGCAAACCCCGGGGCTGAGTTAGCGATGATCTTGGGGTTAATAAACCCAAGCAGGTGAAACTGGATCGTTATCCAGGGAGATTGTTTTCAGGAAAGAAGCGCACTTTTGCCGCTGCATGGTACAACAACAGACCGGCTTGAATATTCGTTAAAAGCAGACGCAGCCTTTTGTTTCCCCTGTAGACAGTTTAAAGTGAATACGTCTTCATCTGATGCGGCTTTTACTGTCAAAGGTTTTTGAGACTGGAAACACGCATTACAGACTGATAAAGGACTGCTAAGGCATGCCGCATCAAAAGAACACATTTCGTGTGAGAGTGTGTGGAGAGAGAGACAGATACGCGAGGAAACAAATAAGGAAATGAGTACTTTGGTGCAGATCAGCTGGCACGGAGCCGTTATTACGTGTCAGCTGTCGTTTATATTATAGCTTTTTTAGCTGTCAACCTTGCTCGTGATTTACCAGTGTCTGTGCTGCCACGCACACAATGTTTCAAAGTGGTTGCTATGTTGCCCTTTATTTGTGTATGTTTGCGATAAGTGTGCGTCTTTACGCAATGCTGTTGGCCTTGCTGTTTGATATATATATTGTGCCGCAGGCCCGCAGCACGTGACGGTTTTGTGTGCCCTCCCATGAAAATCATAGGCCCTCCCTTTAGATTTGTTCTGGCGCCGGGTCTGCCTCAGTGTGTGATTTATTAACTCCTTCGTGCATGCATTACAAACTAAGGATATTTTCATCTTCATGCATGAAAAAAAAAAACATAACATAACACTTTTATAAAACAGATTTTTCCAAGGAATTTTTCAATTGAAGTAATATGTTTAACAAACCAATGAACAAAATGATATATTGTGAAAAACTATAAAAATACAATACACACATTTGACATGTTTATATGAGGACCCCCTTGGTGGTTCTAGGAATATTTTATATAAAATTGTGTTTTCTATTTAACTTATTGTAGGCTACTAAGATTATTTTTTTAATCATGCATGGTATTTTTTTAATTAATCTTTTTTTTTTTTTAAATCTCACGTACCCCAACGTACCCCCAGGGGTCCGCGTACCCCCATTTGAGAATCACTGCTTTAGAGAATCCGACTGCACTTTCACTATCCGATGTGTTTATGATGCGCCAGCGGACGTCATACAGTAAATGTGCGTCTGCTGCTGTGGGAAAACTATGGAAACTACAGTTTTCTATACAGCGGACTACAACGGCGAAGTCCCTCCCCTTCCGGTGGACCTTCATGGGACCTTATTTCAGGAAAAAGTACCTCCAGTTTGCACTTTAGTACAGCGATTAAATAAATGTACTTAGTTACTAACTTACATTCAACCATTGATAGCGGTGACAAGTCCATATACATGTTGCCTTGGTGACATACACAGTCCTTTTAACCTGAACATTATATATAAATGTTATAGGTCCAAATAGATGTGCCTTAAACTATTTAATCAAGTGTCAATAACGGTCTTTAGTATATATACCTATTTCTACTGTTTATGTACTGTTATTGTATACCGCTATTATACACTGTATATCACACATAGTCATACCATTGGTAATGCTGTTCATACTGTCTACTATTATACAATACAGCACTGTAATGCTTCTTTTGCACTCCCGGATGGATGTTAACTACATTTTGTTGTACTCTGTGCAATGACAATACGTTAAATCTAATCTAATCTTATTCTAATTTTAAAAGAGAGATTAAGAGACTGACCACATATTTAATGCTGACTCTTGATACATTTGTGCAATTTCCTATGCTCAGTAAAGACACTTTTTAAAGTGCTAAATGAGTACGGATGATAACAAGAGCCTTGTACTTTGGGTTTGTAATGACAGTTATACATAAAGCTCAAATAGTGAAAATAAACTTTTAATTTGCTCTGAACATTTCCGTTGTCAAAAACATGAATTTCTCATTAAGCGATGTTCAGCAGAATATGGAATGCATGTCCTCACAGTTGCATCAGTTGATCGGCACATCACATGAAATAAACCTAATTATGTGTGTGTGTGTGTGTGTGTGTGTGTGTGTGTGTGTGTGTGTGTGTGTGTGTGTGTGTGTGTGTGCGTGTGTGTGTGTGCGTGTGTGTGTGTGTGTGTGTGTGTGTGTGTGTGTGTGTGGATAGGAGCATAGGCAAGTGATTGTGTGCAGGACATGAGCACATGTGTGAAATTGTACAAATCAGTGCCAGCCTTTTAGTTACACAGCACAGTCAGGTAATGAAGACACAACACTGCCTACTACTGTGTCCCTCACATTCTTAGATATAACAGGGTTAGAGAGAAGCCATTCACTTACAGTCTGCGTCTTGCTTAGGTCTCTGCAGAGAGACACCTGGAAACTGAAAACCGTTTACATGCAGACGGCAAACACTCTATTCTTGTGTGTGTGTGTGTGTGTGTGTGTGTGTGTGTGTGTGTGTGTGTGTGTGTGTGTGTGTGTGTGTGTGTGTGTGATATGACAGATTGGAGCAGCTGGAGCATTTGTTCTGAGAGTTATCTAACTATAAAATTGTAGACTACATCAAACAGCCTTTTAGCACAGCTCTATGGACATCTGATAACATGTGTCCACATGTAGAGGACTATATTTGCTTTGTTCCATATTGTATTTGCCCCTCAAAAACAGTATGTTACAATGCAGGTGTCACACACACATTACATTCAGTTTGCTCTATGTCTTCTTTGTCTCTTTAAGAAAATGTACTATAGGGTAGAGATGTCATCAGTGTTACCTCAGCTTTGAAAAATCCTAATGTTGAACCTGCGTTACAAACTGGAAGCTCCATTTGCTATCTAAGAAATCCACTCTTTTTGCAGTTTGGCCAACATTATAGTATATAATATGATTGTTTACTTTTATGGTGCGTTCACACCGGGCGCGATGCGATGTTTGGGGGCGGCGCGATTACATGTAAAGTCAATGCAGAGACGCAGACAGACGCAAATTCGCTCCGACGGCGAGCATGAAGCGGTGGACGCGGCGCGAATCACGCGATTGAGGCGATTGAACGGTGCTGCGTCAAACGCGAGAGTTCAATTTTTTCAACTCAAGCGTCAAATTCAACTAATGGCTGATGTTTTCTGGTTGAACGTCAGTGACGGCAGGCTGAGATCCTCACCGCTGATTGGCTTCCGCGAGAACGCGTCAAGTGAATTTGACGCTCGAGTTGAAAAAATTGAACTCTCGCGTTTGACGCGGGCACCGTTCAATCGCGTGATTCGTGCCGCGTCCACCGCTTCATGCTCGCTGTCGGAGCGAATTTGCGTCTGTCCGCGTCCCTGCATTTACTTTACATGTAATCGCGCCACCCCCAAACATCGCATCGCGTCCGGTCTGAACGCAGCACATTAAAGCGAAGCAAATATTCGCATCGCGTCCGGTGTGAACGCACCATTACAAAAGGCGGCATATTACGTTTCAAGGGAAATTCCCAGGATATTAATCCTCATTGTTTGACCTCAGATGTTCCAGCTCCGGTTGTTCTGTGCATTCATGCCATTATGTAAAAGTATGTAAACTCTGACTACTTTTAAATCCAGGCTGAAGACTTTTCTTTTTGTCGCTGCTTTTAATTGAACTATTCATATCTTAGACTGCACTGAAACTTTTATCCATGTATTTTTTCTTTTAATGTTTATTTTATTAGCTTTTATTTTTAATGACTGATTTTAAATGCCTTTTTCTTAATGTCTTTCATTTTTTGTAAAGCACTTTGAATTGCCTTGTGTTCAAAAGTGCTATATAAATAAACTTGCCTTGCCTTGCCTTGCCTTGCCTAAAATGAGAATTCAGGGCATGAAGGCAAAGTCAAAATAATTAGTGGAGTGGCAGATAACTTTGCCCGTACATGTATTCTGCAAAGGTTATTCCATGTTATGTTTTTCTTAAACACAAAAGAGCAGTCAGACAGGTTTTTTGTTCCAGATTGTTGAGCATTGTCACATATATAAATACTTATTCTACATTTCACCCTCACGAAAAAACAGGTTACAGAAAAAGCCAAGGGATCACCAAAGTCTTCAGAAGGTATCTCCTGGGCAAAATACATATATGTTCGAAATTACAAAGGAATATATCCAATAGTTGTTGGTATGACCTGACAGGAAGAGCTTGTAATTCTCAGAGCTTAGATCTTAGTATGATTAACTTTGACTTCCTCTAGTGTGAAGAATATCAACAGTTTGAAATGAATGTTGGTTAACTTAGACCTGTACATGTGTGTGTGTGGCCCACCCTTTATGCCTACCATACACCGATAGCGTTAAAACTGGATTTTTGTTTATTCACCTGGACGGAGAATTTGTGTACATGTGGACTAGACTTAAGAGGAAGCAACACAAAATATATTGGAATGAGAGGTGGGCTTGAGGTACTGAGTATACTTTGTTTTAACTCGCTTTCGTTTTCCGTGAAGAAATAATGTTCTTCTAAAAGTGCGATAACTGTAACAGTGTGACGGCCAAAGCGCTCAAACTTGAATTAATGTGAAGTAACTGGACCAATGAATATATAAGAAAACGATTACATTATTTCCACCATTTTCCCAAAGTAAAGGTGGAGTTTCACTTTTTTATTATGGTGCAATATTTGTACTTTGGGAGACAAATTCTGATGACACTACTGGTCTTCCAAATATCCACAAACCCTCTCTTCTCAATGAAGGTGTCCTTACAACTGCGGCAAACATTTGGTGGTTACTTTTAATTAATATGTTTGGGAGTTTGCAAAGTTAAGAGAAAAGTGGATGGATAAAGGTTTTCATGTTTACTTGCAAGACATTTCTGCTGGAGGGGTTTCATTATAATTTGGTGTGAGTTAGAATTCACTGCATTCTCTGTTCTGTCTCCGCAGACACATCATGACGGAGCTGATTGAAACAGAGAGGCTGTATGTGGAGGAGCTGCAAAGCATCATGGAGGTACAGTATGACACCTTACTAGAATGTCCTTTACTTTACACTGCATCTGGGCTTACTTACAAAACATCTACATTCTTCACTGTTCAGTTACATTTGTCTCATCTCTGCTAATACTGTTTTCTAATGTTAGCATGCACCTTAAATTCACCCATTAATGGGGCAATATTTTTTTGGAGATGTGCTTATATTCCCTAATATATTTCATTTTTTCTCGCTTCTGGTGTAACTTTCATATAGAATGGTTTACATTTACGTTACACAAAAAACAAAAACAAAACAATTAATTCACGAATTTTGAAGAGACCTTGTTATCATGTTGGGTTTTGTTCCTTCCCTGTAGTATGTTCTATAGGTTTGTGTGCATGTAAATGGTCTGCAAATGCTAAAATCCCTTAGGTTTTCTGCAGAGGGAGTTTCTCTGCCACATTCACCCCTCCATTGGACTCCTACTTACTAAAACTTGTGCTTGTATTTGCTAGCACTTGAACACATTGTACTATGCTAAGCGGTTGACCAATCACAACAGAGCCGGCCAGCTAACCAATCAGAGCAGACTGGGCTCTGGTTTCAGACAGAGGGTGAAAAGAGGTGCTGCAGCACAGGCAGTATGAGAACAATAAAGAGCTTTTTGAACATTAAAGCATGGAGACATGTCACAGTAGCGACATAATATATAAATATAAAACTGAAAATGAGCACAATATGTCCTAATCCCTGAGTTCATTACCGATTAATGTTCCTTTTAATAGAAAGCATACTGTAAAAACAAATGTTTTCCTAATCTTCAGACTCCTGTCAGTGTATACACTTTATAGTGTCTCCTGGGTTGAATATGTCCAATTGATATTCTGTTGGATTACTCACACCGCAGGCTAGTGATGGCAGTTTGACACTGAAGCTTCGAACGGAGCTTCAACCCTGGACTTCCTATTCCATAGAAGCAGTGCTTCGAAGCTTGCTTCAAATCACGTGACATATGACGTCAGAAGCAGCAACTGCTTCAAATCACGTGACATGTGACGTCCGAACTAGCAACTGCTTCATTTCCTGAATGAATCACTTGACTGGTTCGCGGTCCATTCACTGCCTCGTCTCGATTCTGACAGGTGACAGGTTGAAACTGTTCGAATTTGAGCGCTTCAACACTTTATGACCGCTCTAAACAATGCGCAATGTGTGGGTTGTCGTAGTTTGCGTTGTTGCTGTTGAGTTGTTGTTGGTATTGCATTTGAATTGTAGTATCATTATAGAGCAAGCCAGGAAGAAAGATAGGTCGTTCTGGCTCGGAGTCGGGAAACACTCCGAAATGTGGAGAAGTTGTGGACAAAAAGACAACAAGTAATATAAAAAAAGTTCAATATTTTAAGGAATAGATAGCCCAGTGGGTAGAGCCGGCGGCCCGAATGCTGCAGTGTCCTCCGCGCAGCTGGTTCAAAGCCCGGAATGGATGTATTTTAATCATTGCTTTTCAACTTTAATAACTGATAAAAGGCCCTCTCCTCTCAAAAAAAAGTCCAGCACTCTCTAGTCTCTTCTCAATAACCCAATACACACAGTTATCAATCTGTAATTGCAAATAGAACATGATATTCAGTCTTTGTGTGTGTGTGCATCGAATATTTTTCAAGGCAAAGATACGTTAAACCCACTGCAGCCTTGCACTTCGCCAGGAGAGGTCGCTGTAACTGAAGCTTCGAGAAATGAACCTATTTCCGACACAATTGTCCAAGTGGTTCGATGCTTCATTCAAAGCTTCATTTTGCCATCACTACCGCAGGCTGGATTTGTTAGAACGGGGTACAAAAATACTGGACTCAAATGCAACGACTCACTTTTTAATGAGAAAAATAAAACGTTTAAACAAAAGATCACTCTTGCGAGAACAAAACAAAACTCTTGATTTCAAACAAAAACTCTCCTCTCTGGTAACACGCTGGGTCTCTGGACATGTGAAGCACACTGAAACAAGACTAACTGGCACAAGACAAAGGGAGACAAGGACAATTTAAACATGAGGGAAGTGGGAACAGGTGGAAACAATCAGGGGCGGGGCAGACGCTGACGATGGCGGGAAAACACACAAAGGGAGGAAGTAACAGGGCCTGAAAAGAAAGACAAGAGGTAAGTACAAAATAAAACAGGAAATGGGAAAACGAGACATGACATGAAACATGGGGACTTGACTCGAGATGACAGACATAAAATAGACAGACAAGACGTGAAGTAACATGAAAACCTGACTACATAGAAACATGACTAGACTTGGAATGACATAAATACCTGGCTAAACATGAAATGACAGACATAAAACAAACACAACTAACACAATTGACGAGACACCATAGGATTCAGCAGGACGCATTGATTCTGATTTTACAGTATATTGATTACATAAAAAAGATCATGGGTGTTAATGTATACCTCATTACTCTTATTGTAGGTGTCCATTTGTAAAGTTTGACACTGTAAATGGTCATTAGAAGACATGTTTTGCTATCTTGCAGGGTCATTTATGTCTTCTTCTTCCCTGTCTCATCACTCTTCCCTGCTGCAGGGTTATTTTGCAGAGCTGGATAACTCCGAGCTCAGCCACCTAATCCCCCCCACCCTGGAGAACAAAAGGGATGTGCTGTTTGGCAACCTGCCAGCCATATACGAGTTTCACAACAGGTAGGTGGGATGCATTGTGCACATTGGCCTGTCCCATGCTCCTCTCTATCCTGGAAACACTGATTTGGAACAAGTCTGACCACAGGGTGAAAGAGTATGAAGGAAACTGAGAAACCACTCCATAATAGACCAGGGACCGAACCATGTCACATGAGTCAGGAACATTATTAATGTTCCATACAGTTATAGAAATCTCTTATAGATACAAAATCAACTTGTGAAACACTCTTATTAGTCCTTTTTATATCAATGAATTCATTATTTGTAATAATTTAATTTGGATCCGGTTCAGAGACTGAGTAATTATTTTTGTATGCACTTTACATACATTTTAATGAATTTAATTATTCTTCAAATAAGTATTCTAAATAAAGGGAGAGAAAAACAATGGACCCATGCAGCTGTACATTAGCATCCTTCAAGCTCTATTGTTGGTCTTCACCAGCTCCTGGGAAAAAACCGATATAGTGTAAATGTAAGATGAAGTAGATTATAATAAAAAATATGTATTTAAACTATGAGAAATGAATGGTAATAATACAAAATAAAATACCCCAAAAACTGTAAACATTTCTTGTTTTAAATAACCAAGAATTAAATAACCAAATCAAATCCAATATGTTTTGTTCTATGTATTACATGCTTACAATATAAAATACATGTTAGAAATATACAGTGCATCCGGAAAGTATTCATACCCCTGAACGTTTTTCACATTTTGTTATGTTACAGCCTTATTTATAAATTGATTAAATTCATTTTGTTCTCAATATCCCACATAATGACAAAGCGAAAAAGTTTGAAAATATTTTTTTACAAACGTGTTAAAAATAATTAAATGAAATGTCACATGTACATAAGTATTCACAACCTTTGCTTTGAAACTGAAAATTGAGCTCAAGTGCATCCCGTTTCCACTGATTATCCTTGAAATGTTTCTGTAACTTGACTGGAGTTCACCTGTAGTCAATTCAATTGATTGGACATGACTTGGAAAGGAACACACCTGTCTATATGAGGTCCCACAGTTGACAGTGCACATCAGAGCACAAACCAAGTCATGTGGTCCAAGAAATTGACTGTAGACCTCAGAGACAGAATTGTATCAAGGCACAGATCTGGGGAAGGTTATAGAACAATTTCTGCAGCATTGAAGGTCCTAACGAGCACAGTGGTCTCCATCATTTGCAAATGGAAGATGTTTGAAACCACCAGGGATCTTCCTAGAGCTGGCCCCCAAACCAAACTGAGCATCGGGGGAGAAGGGCCTTAGTCAGAGAGGTGACCAAGAACCCAATGATTACTCTGAGAGCTCCAGTGTTCCTCTGTGGAGATGGGAGAACCTTCCAGAAGGACAACCATCTGTGCAGCACTCCACCAATCGGGTCTTTATGGTAGAGTGGCCAGAAGGAAGCCACTCTTCAGCAAAAGGCACATGAAAGCCCCCATGGAGCACTAGGGGACTCTCAGACCATGATAAACCAAATTGTCTGGTTTGATGAAACCAAAATGGAGCTCTTTGGCCTGAATGCCAAGCATCATGTCTGGAGGAACCCAGGCACTGCTCATCACCTGGCCAACACCATCCCTACAGTGAAGGCATGGTGGTGGCAACATCATGCTGTGGGATGTTTTTCAGCAGCAGGAACTTGGAGACTAGTCAGGAACAAGGGAAAGATGAATGCAGCAATGTACAGAGAGTTGCTTGATGAAAACCTGCCCCAGAGCGCTCTGGACCTCAGACTGGGGCAACGGTTCACCTTTCAAAGGACAACGACCCTAAGCCCACAGCCAAGATAACAAAGGAGTGGCTTCGGGACAAGTCTGTGAATGTCCTTGAGTGCCTCAGCCAGAGCCCAGACTTGAACCGGATTGAATATCTCTAGAGAGATCTGAAAATGGCTGTGCACCGATGCTCCCCATTCAAGCTGATGGAGCTTGAGACGATCTGCAAAGAAGAATGAGAGAAACTGCCCAAAGATAGGTGTGCCAAGCGTGTATCATCATACTCAAGAAGACTTGAGGCTGTAAGTGCTGCCAAAGGTCCTTCAACAAAGTATTGAGTAAAGGGTGTGAATACTTATGGACATGTGATATTTGAGTGTTTTGTTTACAAAATATATTTTAAAACGTTTTCCACTTGGTCATTATGGGGTTTTGTGTCTCGAATGTTCAGAATTTAATCCATTTTGAAATATGGCTGTAAAATAACAAAATGTGGAAAAAGTGAAGTGAAGATGCACTGTATGTCATTTCAGTAAATATGTTTCACAATTAGAAAAGGTTTTGGGTGGTTAAAGGCAATATTCCTAACATAATCTGTAATCCCAAACAAAATGTTTAGCCAAGCTTCTTTGTGTGTTACAGTTGAGCAGGTAAAGTAGGACCCAAGTGCTTGAACTGAGAATGTGTAAGGGTTGGGGAAAAATAGGACCCAAATGCAGATTGCGGAGGAAGCAGGTTTCAAAAGGAAACAAAAGGCGAGCTTTATTTAACAAAAGCTGAACAAAAACAAGAATTCAAGAACAGGTACGCAGTAGCATCCAAACAAAGGTGACTGTGACCAACATGAAGGGGGACATGAACGACAAACAATGAACCAACACTGAACACAGGAAGAGACTAAATACAGGGAGGGGTAATCACGAGACGAGAAACAGCTGGGGAGGAGAAAGGGGAACAGGTGAACACAATCAGACAATTAGACACACCAGGGACACTAACGACAGGGAGGACAGCACAGCAAAAATAACCCCAAAACTAGACACACAAAAACTCAAACCCTGACAGAATTACCTTTATTCAAGGTTACAATAACTAACAGACTGCAACTCTCTTCCTTCTAAACTCAAAGAACCCACAAACACCAACAGAAAACCAGAACTTAAATACATACAAGACCAATCAAGAAGACAAGACACAGCTGGGGAGGGGAGGGAAAACCCAAAGGCACCAGGTGACCAGAATCAGATCATCAGACAGGAGGGAAACACAGATGGGAAGCAAATACAGATATGAGACAGGGGTGAACACTTTCAAAGTATAACAGGAAACCAGACAGACCGTGACACAGAAAATCAACAGATCGTGACAATTTTACTCTAGGTTGATTTTGTCTTGATAAACTATTACTCAATCATGATAACATGTTTAGCGTTCATTTAAGAAAAAGAAATACACCATTTATTCACATTCTACTATGTACACTTAAAGCTACAGTTAGTAATTACAAATGTAAATGTTCTCAATTGTGAAAACTGTCACTATATCCAGACAGTATTCTATGACACAGATAATCTATACAAATATCTGTCACTGTTCATACTGCACCGAATGGCATTTTCCGGATTCCAACGAAAACAACAGAACAATCACTTAATGCATGAGAAATTTGGTCAAACTGTCAAGCTGGTCAGCACTGATACAAAATTATGTAAGATTCACTGCATTGCCATTTCCATAAATATTTTGAGACACATTTTACTGAACAGTGTAGCTGTGAAATTATAAAGGTAGCTACCATTACTATTATAAATATTTTAGAGCTGATTAATCGCATGATGTCCATAGTTAATCGTGATTAATCACAAATTAATCGCACATTTTTTTTATCTGTTCTAAATGTACACGTTTTTAATACTCTTATCAACATATGAGTGGACAATATGCTTTATGCAAATGTTTGTTTATTATCATTGGAACAATGACAAATATTGAGCTGAATATTCTCAACACAACAACCTGGAACCTCTCTCTCTCTCTTCACTCTCTCCCAACCCTGTCTACTTCTTTGCGCTGAGCCAGTTGCCCAAACAGACAAGCCTGTTTACAGTTGTCGGCGAAATGCCGCTCCTCTGTCTTCATAACTGAAGTTACCTACTGTAACTCCAGCTTCTATGAGTATTGGTGAAGCCCTCTAAGGCTATCGCTATTGGGTAATCCCCCTACGCACCCGCGCAGCACTGAAACACTTGTAGTCCACGCCCACCCGCAAGGTGGGCCCCACCCTCGGGCTCCTTCCAGTATAAATAGGAAGGAGGCCCGACAATCTGCTCCCATACAAAATAACTTTTCTTCAGCTATTCGTGGAGCCAGTGGGGCCCAACACTTAGAGGGCTTCGCCAATAGAAGTACTCATAGAAGTAGGTAACTTCAGTTCTATTTCGTATATGGCTTCGCCCTCTAAGGCTATCGCTATTGGGTTAAGGGCGAAGCATGATGTAGTCTGCGCCCCACTGGGTCCGCCCGGTACTAGAAGCACAGACACACCTGCTCAATAACAACCCATGCCTATTGCACCGTGCGTAATGGCGCATCACCGTCCCTGAAATATAGCACAACATGAATATTTTCCATGAGGGGACGAAGGCTGGGAACAATACATACCTGCCGCTGTGAGAAAGTAGAGACGAAGGTCCCACCTTGCCCAGTGACAAAAAGAGGGGGAACAGCAGCTCTCTGCGTGCAGACAGACAGGAGAGCGCACAGCTGGATCACTGATATCACTTACTCTGACAAGACACTCTATACAAAATGTGTCAGAGGAAAAAAAGGAATCATCCCTCTCATAAGAGGGAAAAAGGGCCGCTCTCCGCGTGCCGAGAGGCAGGAGAGAGGCGCACAGCTGGATCCCTGACGTCACTCACTCTGACAAGACACAGACAGGGTGTGTCAGAGAGGAATGGGAGACATCCCTCAAATACAATTGAGTAAATGAACAGGGGGAAGACCAAGATGCAGCAGTGCAAATGTCTTCCACTGACATTCCTCCGTGCAAAGCCGTGGAGGAGGAAAATTCCTCTGGTGCATTGATGTTCTCCGGGGGATCCAACCCAGAGGAGACATACGCCTGCGACACAGCCTCACACAGCCAGTGTGAGCGCTCTCTATAATGCACAAACAGGCGCTAAAAATGGCACAAGGCAGCCGTGCGCGCCACTAGCAGGACAGCGCACTCACCGGACAGAGGAGATGAGACGTGACTTCTTCCTCCGACCATTGAGGAGGGGGAAAGAAGCCATCCAAGGTGATCACTCTCGACTCTAAAGAGCTTGTGATGACCTTTGGCATAAAAGCCGGGTTAGCGCGTAAAACAGCTGAACTGCCATCTCCTTGGATCCGGAGACATGACGGAGCCACAGAGAGAGCAGACAAATCACTCACCCCTTTTCGTTGATAGAGCCAAAAGTAGTACTACTTTGGCTGACAACAGTTTAAGGGGAACCTGGTCTAAAGGTTCAAATGGGGCTTTGCTTAGTGCGTGTAACACCAAAGCCAAATCCCACTGAGGCGCCAGTGTGCGTGACACAGGTCTGAGTCTCCGTGCTCCTCGCATAACATGGCTGCTGCGCTCTGCGAGCCCCTCGGTTCAATTCGCCGGGAATATACATTGCTCTGATGAGAGCAACGTGTGTGCGCGCCCAGAACAGCAGCCGCCTGGCTGCGTTCAGAAGCTGCGCAGATCGTACTCCTCCCTGGCGATTGAGGTAGGCTGCTTCCATAGCCGTGGCCTGTTGTCTGTGCAAATCAACACATGTTTGATTGTACAGCAACGGGGCGACTCCCCCGTTCTTTTCCGAGATTTAGAAAAATAGCGGGGGTAAAAACCGCGCAAGACACTGTTCCTGGGATGACAGGAGTGTTTCTTGTATCCCATGGAACTGCTGGGGGGAGAGGCTTCTCTGTGATGTGCTGTAATGGTCGTCATGGTGACGAGCCACGCCATCGCCGCCGCTGCCCGTGAGGCAAAAGGGCTGCGAGGGAGTTTCCACATGCTGCGTTTCACTCCTGCTGTCATCATGAGGCGTGTACACGCTCAGGGGATGAGTGGAGGTGTGTGTAGTGCTGTCCACATGAGGCGTTATAACGGCGCTCATGGGTTATTATGACCGTGTGTAGGAGGCGTATCTCGGACCTCGGGTTCGCCGCCGCCCCCTCCTGGAACCTCCTGACGGCCGGGAAGCGTGGCCAGATCGGGTCACTCCTGACCGTCTGCACCCGCGAAAAAACTCCGGTTCCGGAGCACACCTCTCCTGAGCTAGGGGAACGGGGAGATCTCTGCAGGCGGCCGCCTTGCATATGATCTCCGGCAGTTCCCCTAGGATGCCACCTATCGCCGGTAGCGCTGTGGTGACGGAAAGGGGGAAAGCATGTTCGGCCGCCAAGCTGGCACCCTGCTCCGACTCCGAGGGAGGGGAGAACCGAACGGTGAACCGTGGAGGGAGGCGGGGCAGGAGTTGTCGGACTCCTGCCCGGCACTCGGCCCCAGGGACACGAGGCCCCCGTCCGCGGGCTCGTAAGCCTGGACGAGCCAATCGTCCTCCTCGGCCGCAGCAGCAAGAGCGTCCGCTCTCCGCTTCCTGTTGCCCGAGGGGAGACGGGCGCAGTGTGTGCATGCTACCTGCTGGTTTAGAGCCGCGTACGCATGCTCTGACCCCAGGCAGGATTCGCATACTGCTTTTATCTGTGCTGGTCATAACTCATTATGAACCCAGAGCCACATGAGGGACAATCTCTCACACAATTGTTACTCATGTTTACTCTGCAATTGAAGTGTCTCTTGTGCTTCAGTAACGGTGTGCTGAAGAAAAGAGGGAGCAGATTGTCGGGCCTCCTTCCTATTTATACCGGAAGGGAGCCCGAGGGTGGGGCCCACCTTGCGGGTGGGCGTGGACTACAAGTGTTTCAGTGCTGCGCGGGTGCGCAGGGGGATTACCCAATAGCGAAGCCATATACGAAATAGAACAGTCAAAGCATGAGACTGAAGTAATAATGCGCTGTGATGTGCAGTCGACACGTTGGATGCGATCCGAATTATCTAACGCAGCCCCTCGTCCTCCACAATGTTAAGCTGTAGCCACCCATTTAGCTATCGCTGTTGTTGTCCAGGCGTCTCCCCGGCAAACTTTCAAGCGTGGTCTGCCGCAAACGAGCGGCTGAGGGCTGTCAGCATCAGCTGTGTGCTTGGCTTGCTGTTTAAAACACCTTTTTTTGTATCAATATCTCTCGCTAGAATCTCCCACCATCCAACTAACAACAACAACAACAACGTCAAGCCTTTGGGCTCTGAAACTACACATGCGTTAATCGCACGTTAAAATAATTAGTGTCCTTAAAAAAAAATTGCGTTATTAATGTGTTAACTTGACAGCCCTAATATATTTATATTTGCTACTTACTGTCTAGTTCGACAGTTTGATCGGTGTCACATCCCAGGGTTCTGATTGGTTTAATCCCCATGGTCCTTCTTAGATGTATGCAGACAGTTTATTGAATAATCTCATCCTTCATTGAAAGGAATATTGAACTCCACAGCTAGCATGTCGGAACATTTGAACTGGTTTGTTTTGTACCTCCTTAACTTGTAGCTTCAGAGTGTAATTGATGTAATCTTAGCCACTGTGCTCTCGCTCCAAGGACAAACAAAAGTACCTGTGCCGATGAGATAATTATTCAAAGCAACTGTCAACAAGCAGAACAATTCAGAAACATCACTGGCATGCCAAGCAGATTGCAGACTCCCCGAAGGCCTGAACCAAAGAGCTGTTCCTACTTTCCTTCCATCCTTATCTCCTTCCCCTCACTTTATGCTTTCACTTCCTTGCCCTCTCTCTTGCTTCCTGTTTTCGTGTCTACTTGTTAGCTCTTTCTCTCATCTCTCTGTACAGTTACTGATGAAAGTGAGGTGGGGCAGAGATTTTGGACAGATTTGTTCCACTTCTTCAAAATCCTTGGTTTGGATTTTTATAAACTAAGGGGCCAAGACTCAAATTAGTGTAGGCCTACTGCTTTAAATGGGTATTCCAGCAATGTATGGTCCAAAAAGTTGCGAGACTTTATACAGGTAGATTAAAAGAGAATGGGAAAAGCTGCTCACATCTTTCAAATGCTTGGTCTACAGGTCTGAACCGAGATACATTGATCACATCATGAGGATAATTTGCTCAGACTTGAAGCTCATCCTGTTCTGCTCAGGATTAGTAAACTGCTGTTCATGTGTAAAATTGACAGTCCTCTCTTTCATTTCCAAACAATGGGTCCAATTTGACACATCAATATTGTGTTCGATAATGACAAGAGTTGAGTTATTGGCCAACTTACCCAAGGAGATCTAAATTATTGACTGTCTCGTGCTACAATAAACTGCACACTTGCATTGATAATGTGATTTCCAGCTCTAGGAAAATGAACAGTGTGAGTTGTGTTCTCATTGTTCATAAACCTCCTGCAGGACATTTCTGAGGGAGCTGGAGAACTGTGCGGAGAAACCAGAGCTGGTGGGGACGTGTTTTCTGAAAAGGGTGAGTAGCTTAAAAAACAGTGGACAGTTCATTTACCCAAGCATTTGGGTTGAGTGTTTACATGTTGTTAATTCAACAATAATGAAAATGTCTCCTGTATAAACAAAGTAAACCTATTATGAGGACCTAGTACATTCAGTGGTTTACTACTTCTGTACTGTTATTTGCAATTGAAATGTGTGAATTTGCTACTATTTCTGAAGTAAAATCATTGCAGGTTTAAAATGGAGCAGCATTCGACGAACCAAAATAGGGTCTCAGAGATGGGTTTTATAGCTTCTGTGTGTATTATTCAGAGGGGATGACTTTAAAGAACATGCTTTTAGATAAATGCAGGACCAGGCAGGATCATCGGGCTGGGTCCAAATAACTTAGGGAAAAGGATCTTGTTGTTTTTCTAACCCTAACCCTAAGACCTTACTTTGCATCCTAATACTCACAGAATCAGTTTATTTGTTTTGACAGTACGTATAAGCATGTCATTTTAAAAAATGAGAACATTGTTGGCTCTCCATTGGATCAGGTCAGATAGATTGTAGGTCTTTCTCATTCCTTCTGAAAGAGTTTTGAGTTGACTGTTAAATTGACAAAAAACCATATCAAGGCATTAGTTCGACATACAAAGAGTACGGCAAAGAGTACAAACTTATTCTGTAGGAAACAGGGTTTGTGTATACCAGGGATGGGCAAATGGCGGCCCGCGGCCCGCATGCGGCCCCCACCTCCTCTTTTTGCGGCCCTCAGATTAATTTATAAACAACGTAATTAATTAAAAATATATATATTTAAAAAAATATATATATTTTGAATTTGTTTTACTTGTAGTAGTAGTACTGATACCGTCCACTAGACTCCTAGTTACGTCGCGAGCTGCGTACATGATTTCAAATACCGCAAACTAATCTGTGACGCATTTGTGTGTATTGTGTTTGTTTCCCGGGGAAACCCTCACAAGAAACACCAGCTGTTGTTATGCCTGCTGTGACATTAAGTTGCCTCTTGTAATTATGCCTTTACAAGCTTAAAAGTTGTATTTATCATCTGAATTTGGCGAAACAAGTTTAATATTCTTAAAACCAAGACTTTGTTTATTTGAAATCAGATGAAAACAAACTGTCATGGACCTTGCCGTGTTATCTATGATTACTACGCTTTTCATTCATAATTTCAGCGGGAGGGAGGGGGAGTGGCGCTGAGGAACAGCAGTGCGGGCTGACAGGTGTCTGTGTTGACATTCCCCTTATTGTGGAATAAGGGGAAGTGTTTTAGGTTCAAGTTAGACAACTAATGTCTGGGTTAGTGTTCATGACTTCATGTTTATGTCATCTTAATGGTTAATCTCAATACACACACATTTTCCGTGCTTTCCAATAGTTTAAAAATAGCTTTATTCCACTGTTTAATAACCTGTTCAATACAAACATGCCACTTGTAAAAATGAAATAACATTTCTGTGAACTGATATTTGTTTAGTGAGCTTATTAGAGGATGTTCCCATTTTTGGCGGATGTTCCCTTTGATTGTAAAATGTCAATGATATTTGATATACTTTATTATTCCCCGTGGGGAAATTGTTTCTCTGAATTTGACCCATCCTGTGTTAGGAGCAGTGTGCTGCCATTTTGAATGGCGCCCGGGGAGCAGTGTGGGGAACGGTGCCTTGCTCAGGGACACCTCGGTAGCACTTGACAAGCAGTCTGACAATGAAGATGTCAGACTTAGTATATTTTTTAATAATTACATACAACACATGGAATTTGTGTGTGTGTGTGTTCCAAGTGAATCTACGGCCCCCTGGTGGCCAGTACATCAATGATGTGGCCTCCACCATCATCAAAGTTGCCCATCCCTGGTGTATACTGTTTGTTTCATGACTTTGGACTCTTTTAATCAAGGGTACAGAATTAGGACACTAGGTGTGTGAAGTTAAAACTTCTTTGCAGCAATGTTGAGCCAATCATGAAATGAGTGAAACTGGATTCGCCTGTCAATACACTGATATTTATTGAGAGCCTCAGCGGCCGGAGAGTTCACAGCATATCACAGTTCTCCTGTAAGATACCAGCAAACTCTGCCCCAAAAGCGCCAAGCACCCATCTATACAAAGAGAAGAGGAGGGCCCTAAAACACGCGGGTTTTCCTTTAATGCATGCCAGATGTCGAGACATAGACTCGTTGCATTGTAAACCCACATGAGCCAAGCTTCTCCCCCACAAGACATCAGATGACCTCTTGACCTGTGTCTTCCTGAGAAGCTATGGATCACATTACAGGCAGGAATACACTTTAACCATTAAACAGATTCCTGAGGACAAATCACTAAACTCTATATACTTTAACAAGACCAAAATATTCCTTTACAAGGTGTACCATCCAGCGATGTGCAGAATTACTGACAGACCTCATATTCAAACAGCTGAAATTGACCAAAAAAAGACAAGTTTTAATTTGAAGGCATGTCTTTGTGTTTTCAGAAAGAAGAGCTTCAGGTGTATGAGAAGTACTGCCAGAATAAACCCCGCTCTGAAGTCATCTGGAGACAGTGTGGAGACAGCCTCTTCTTTCAGGTATGAAGTACTCTTTAGGATGTCAGACTGCAATATTTGTTCCATACACCAGGATAACACTGTTCAACCTGACTCTAGCATTTCAATCTCTTCCCATCTTGCGACAGGTGTGTTTTGACATGAACTTATTGTAGCTTTAACACTAGGTTAAGTAGGTCTATCCTGTGTCTTTCCTGATGGGGAATGTTTGGTGTTTGTGACAACAGGAATGCCAGAAGAAGCTGGACCACAAACTCTCTCTGGATGCCTACCTGCTGAAGCCTGTCCAGAGGATCACCAAATACCAACTCATGCTCAAGGTAACATCTTGCAGTCACGGAAAAGGTGGACCCAAATGCAGAAAGAAAGATAGAATATAAACTACCTTTGTTTAAAGGCTTCGTTCAGACAAGGCAAGGTAAAACAGAACTTCCAGACGAATAAAACTCCAACAGAAAAACCAGGACTTAAAGCAGAAGAAATGAGAGGAGGAAGTACAGGTGTACCGAAGGTCAGGTGTTTGCAGGGCTGATGGGGAATAGGTAGAACTCATAAGGCTAGGACAGACCGGGGAAAAATGTGGGAAAACAAACAAAGACAGGAAGTAAAAACGGACTTGACAAACGTTGAGGAGAAAGGCTCCTAAAAGTTTCTCATTTTGCAACTGGAGCCACATTAAGTCTTTTCAACCCAGAGGTGTACATGTGTTCTGCTACACCCATCATTTAGGGTAGAGGATCAACATTCTAACTGTAACCAAGGTGCAAACTTAGGCTCCAAGTTAAACTAAAATCAGTTTGGAAATGATTATTTATTTATTTTAATCGTTTATTTGGCAGGGACATTGCACATTAATGAACACTGAAAACAATAGATATTTCAAGCGTAAATATGCTGGATTTAGCTTTGAGCTACTTTCCACCCGCAGTACCTCACATAAAACATTTAAGAAAATCACATTTATAAACATAGCAAAAACAAATACATGATATGCAAAAAGTGCAAAAGAGCAAGAGCAGCACACACAAGTATTTATCACATGGCAATACAATATAGCACCAATGACATATAAAGTGCAAGAGAAGATACAAGAGATACATAAAGTGCAAGAGAAGATACAAGAGATACATAATTCCATGTCAGCCACAGCTTGTTACAAAAAACCTGACTGATAGTGTGTTCAACAAACTTAAACTAGCTTTATTAAATGTCAGGTCTTTGGCAGGAAAAACATTTTTAATCAATGATTTTATCACTGAGCACAATCTCGATTTTATGTTTTTAACGGAAACATGGATTGAACAAAAATAACAGTGCAGCTGTTCTTATCGAATCAACCCCTCTCAACTTTAGTTTTATGAGTCAGGAAGAATGCATAAGAGAGGAGGTGGAGTTGCTATTTTGTACAATGATTCCCTTCAATGCAGGAAGACATCTTATGGGAACTTTACTTCTTTTGAATATGTGGCCCTTCAGCTGAAATGCTCCTCTCGAGCTCTGTTCCTAAATATCTATAGACCACCCAAATACTGTGCAAGCTTTTTGATGACTTTACTGAACTGCTGTCTATAGTGTGTATTGACTTTGACCGTCTAGTCATTGTTGGTGATTTTAACATCCATGTTGACAACCCCCAGGACAGAGGGACTAAAGTACTGTTTTGTGTTCTTGATAACTATGGACTGACTCAGCATGTGACGGAGCCCACGCACAATAAGGGGCACACTCTGGACTTAATTATCTCAAAGGGTCTGAATATCTCTGAGGTTGTGGTGACTGATGTTGCACTCTCTGACCATTCCTGTGTTTTCTTTGAGAGCTCTATTTCTGTTCACAAAAATGCTCAAAAAGAGGTAACCACAAAGCGATATTTAACTGAAAACACTAGGGAAATGTTTACTCAGAATTTTTCTTCCACACTTGCCCCTGCTAACATCTCAGTAAATGAGCTAGTAGATCATTTTAATTCAAAAATGTAAAATGTTATAGATGCCATTGCTCCAACTAGGGTAAAGGAAGTGACTGGGAAGACCGTGAGAACAGAGAAAAAAGAGTGTCGAAAAGCTGAACGCAGGTGGCGAAAAACAAATCTCCAGGTTCACTTTGAAATCTATAAAGAGAGACTTAGCCTTTATAATTTGGAATTGAAATTTGCCCGACAGTCTTTCTTCTCTGATATCATTGCCAAAAACAAAAACAACGCACGTGCCTTGTTCGCTACCGTCGACAGACTAACTAACCCCCCAGTGTCAGTAGCCTCTGAATTTCTATCCACCAGGGCGTGCAATGAATTTGCCTCCTTCTTCACTGACACAATTCAGAAAATCAGACAAGCAGTCAGTGCCTCTGCATCAGGAACAGCAAATGTTTTGTCTCTGTGTCCACCTAATATCAATTCAGACATCATGACACAATTCCATCAGATTAATGATAAAAACCTAGAGGACATTATAGGGCTGTGCGATTATGGCAAAAATCATAATCACGATTATTTGGTCAATAATTGATATCACGATTATTTTGACGATTATTCATTGACCATTTATTGAACTTTAAAACAAATAATATTTTACCAATAAACAAGATCAACAAATATGTTGGAGCGCACTTCCAAAACCATACTAAACATATATTAATATGATAAATAAAAATAAATTAGACCAAAATAAATGAAATGAAATATGTTGCAGTGCACTGTCACAACCTACTGAAAACTCCTTAACATATAGCCAACATTTTGGTAAAACATATTCAACATATTCCACTCAGTTAAACGTTGAAGGCTGGCCAACCGTCATGGTCCAGAAGTAACAGGAAATAAATGTTGAACTACAATTTAAGACCAAATAAAAATGTTTAGGCCACCATGGCAAATGCTGGTAGGGCTGCTCATGTCATCTCTTAAAGATTTTTTTGCAAGACATACCAGCCTGTTTACATGGTCTGGTTTCAGAGATGAGCGCAGGCAGGTGACAATATTGCCACCTGTACTGAAGACCCTCTCTGAAGAGGAACTTGTGGCAGTGCTGCCACATATGACACAGGAAAAAAAGAAAAGACTCTGAAGAACCCTTTCTTTGCCATTATATAAAAATAGTGTTGCTACAAAAGTATAAATTAGGCTTACTAATAAGACAACTCAGATCTGAAGCTACACAGTAATCTGCTGCAGCAACAGTGCAATAAAAAAGACAACATTAATAGAATCAAACCCATTTTTTGTTGCATTTTATTAGAGTATAAAAATAAATGCCTTTAAAATAGGATGCAAGCAACACTAGTTTCTGAACTGATAGACTATAATCAATTTAAACAGAACAGATCTTAATGTTTGCATTCTTATACCATTTTGTACAATAATTATCATGAATAAATTCAAACAAACTAAAACTTACAGCAGATTAATAACGGTATCTAAATTGAGTTTTTATTATATCAAAAACCTGTTGAAATGCTGCTGTTATTTTTACTGTCCCACAAAAGCGCGTCGCAGCCTCCAGGAAAGCTTATTTCATAACTTTGCCGTCTTTGAAAGACTTCATGTGTTTCGCAAGAACGTGACTGACACGATAAGATGCTATGGTAGCAGCCTTGCTCTTGTTGTTGGGCCTGGTGAAATGGACTGCTGTGCATTTAGCTGTGCTCTCAGGCCCCTCCCCTTTTGGAGCGTAGGGCAGAATTAGGAGGGAATTCCGTCTCGTAGCGTTTGTGCACTGTTTTGAAATGCCGCTCCTAAATTACCCTTATTCGATAAAGCCACGCTCGCATTGCAGATGAGACAGATGGACTTTGAATTGGAATAGATACAAAAATAATGATCCTCCCACTTGGAGTGAAAATTATATATTTTGGGCTTTTTTGCTTCTGCCATAATTGCGGTCTTGTGTGTGTCACTCCTGTTGACCATCCATGCTGTTGACACGGACAACGTCAGCGAACTAGTGCACTGCTCACCAGCCACGCCCGGACACATGGGGTGAGGCCGGCCAATCACAAAGCTTTGATGCGTTCAAGTGCATTATTCTGGCACGGGAACATTATGTTACAGGACATTAACGATAAAACAGAATATTGTTGTTCTATTTTTAGACACATCTCGCGATCGACTGGGAATCTCCCCGCGACCCTTCTTTTTAACTAGTTGCTGCTCTTGTTCTGACATCTTCGCTTGCGCTGAACACTCACAACACATGTCACTCCCACGTGGCCGAGTGGGCTTTTAGGGAGAGGCGAAAGCGCACCCAGCAAAATAATCGTATTTTGTCAATTATGCTGTTTTCCTAATCGTCGCAAGCCATAATCGTAATCGCGATTAAAATACGATTAATTGCACAGCCCTAGGACATTATACAACTTCTGAAATCCTCCTCTTGCTGCCTTGATATTATTCCAACAGGATTTTTCAAAGATGTTTTTCCTTGCATGGCCTCAGATCTACTTCATATAGTAAACAAGTCTCTTCACTCAGGTGTTTTTCCACAGGCTCTGAAAACTGCAGTCATTAAACCGCTCTTAAAAAAGCATAATCTAGACGCTTCAGTAATGAACAATTACAGGCCCATATCAAACCTCCCATTTCCAGGTAAAATCATTGAAAAAGTAGTCTTTCAACAGTTGAGTAATTTCTTGCATTTAAATAGCTGTTTGGATGTGTTCCAGTCAGGCTTTCGTCTAAACCACAGCACTGAGACTGCTCTTGTAAAGGTCTTCAATGACATCCACTTAAACACAGACAGTGGCAGAACTTCAGTGTTAGTATTATTAGATCTCAGTGCTGCGTTTGACACTGTTGACCACAACATATTACTAGACCGACTAGAAAACTGGGTGGGACTTTCGGAAACAGTTCTAAATTGGTTTGAATCCTACTTAAAGGACAGAAACAACTTTGTTTCTATAGGTAAATACAAATCTGAGTTGACAAATATGACATGTGGGGTTCCTCAAGGCTCCATCTTGGGGCCTCTTCTCTTTAACATCTACATGCTACCACTGGCTCAGATAATGAAAAACAACAAAATAAGTTACCATAGCTATGCGGATGACACACAAATTTACATAACCATTTCACCAGGAGACTATGTTCCAATTCAAACACTGAGTAAGTGCATTGAACAAATCAATGACTGGATGTGTCAGAACTTTCTCCAATTAAACAAAGACAAAACTGAGGTAATGGTCTTTGGAGCCAAGGCAGAATGTATAAAAGTTAGCGCTGAGCTTCAGCCTGCAATGTTCAAAACAACAGATAAAGCTAGAAATCTAGGTGTAGTCATGGACTCTGACCTGAGTTTCAACAGTCACATTAAAACAGTTACTA